CTGTGTACCTGTCTGTCTGTCTGTCTGTCTGTCTGTCTGTCTGTCTGTCTGTCTGTCTGTCTGTCTGTCTGTCTGTCTGTCTGTCTGTCTGTCTGTCTGTCTGTCTTTCACTCTGCATTCAATGTGTACCTGTCTGTCTGTCTGTCACTCTGCATTCAATGTGTACCTGTCTGTCTGTCTGTCTGTCTGTCTGTCTGTCTGTCTGTCTGTCTGTCTGTCTGTCAATCTGCATTCATTGTGTACTTGTCTGTCTGTCTGCATTCAGTGTGTACCTGTCGGTCTGTCTATCTGTCACTCTGCGTTCACATGCTCCCATCATATACAGTATCATATAGACTACAAGTGTCCAATCACATTGACACTCAACTACACTTCGCAAGGGATAACAACAGCCACTTGGTTAGTTGATTGATTAATTCATTGATTGATTCATTGATTTGCTTCCTGTGTACAGGGTCTGCCCGGACCTCCTGGCCCACCTGGTGAGGGAGGCAAGCCCGGTGACATGGGTGTTCCAGGAGAGGGTGGAGCTGCTGGTATCACTGGACCCAGAGTTAGTTTTAATCTCCTCCACCTCTCATCTCCACACCTATGATGTTCATATAGCTAACTCCCATTATGGAATTATGGAGGAACTCATATGGAGTAATGCTGAGCAATAATATTAATCATCCATCCCTGTCTCTGTCTGTCAACTGTAGGGTGAGCGTGGTTTCCCAGGAGAGAGAGGAGGTGCTGGGCCTCAGGGGCTGCAGGGACCCCGTGGTCTGCCTGGAACTCCTGGAACTGATGGACCCAAGGTGAGAAACACAATGTGGCGAGTGACCTGTCTTCTCATATACCTAATAGCCCAGATGTTGGACCCTTGGCTTGTAGAATGTCACCCAGGCTAGTAGAATGTCACCCAGGCTTGTAGAATGTCACCCAGGCTAGTAGAATGTCACCCAGGCTAGTAGAATGTCACCCAAGCTAGTAGAATATCACCCAGGCTAGTAGAATGTCACCCAGGCTAGTAGAATGTCACCCAGGCTAGTAGAATGTCACCCAGGCTAGTAGAATGTCACCCAGGCTAGTAGAATGTCACCCAGGCTAGTAGAATGTCACCCAGGCTAGTAGAATGTCACCCAGGCTAGTATAATGCCATCCAGGCTAGTAGAATGTCACCCAGGCTAGTAGAATGTCACCCAGGCTAGTAGAATGCCACCCAGGCTAGTAGAATGTCACCCAGGCTAGTAGAATGCCATCCAGGCTAGTAGAATGTCACCCAGGCTAGTATAATGCCATCCAGGCTAGTAGAATGTCACCCAGGCTAGTAGAATGTCACCCAGGCTAGTAGAATGCCATCCAGGCTAGTAGAATGTCACCCAGGCTAGTAGAATGCCATCCAGGCTAGTAGAATGTCACCCAGGCTAGTAGAATGTCACCCAGGCTAGTAGAATGTCACCCAGGCTAGTAGAATGTCACCCAGGCTAGTAGAATGTCACCCAGGCTAGTAGAATGTCACCCAGGCTAGTAGAATGACACCCAGGCTAGTAGAATGTCACCCAGGCTAGTAGAATGTCACCCAGGCTAGTAGAATTTACAGCTAGTTGAATTTGCGGTCTACTAGCTGACCAGAATCACACTAGTAATGGTACCGCCATAGCCCACCGAAGAACATATAGGTTGTGATGCATGAGACGGGCCCATTACCATGAGACACAGTGGGCGGCAGGTATCCCAGCAGTGAGAGCGTTGGGCCAGTAACCGAAAGCTTGCTCATCCGAATCCCTTGAGAAATGCACTTAACCCTAATTCCTCCAGGGTTGCTGTATATAATTGAGAGAAAAAAAACACATTTCCATTTCATACCACGCACTTGTACATGTGTAAAACAAGACAAATATAAGCACCCCTTTTTGTCTTTTGACCATTCTGATCCTGCACAGTACCTGTGGTATAGCATGCCAGCTGTATTCTACACAGCCTTTTCAGTGCATAGAAAATGGGATTCATAGAGATGTAGCTCGCCTGTCAACCACGGCCAAGTGCTACGTTTCATTCTCAATACTGGTAATGAACAGAACACACTTGGGGGAGGCCTGGAGGGGGGGACTAGAGGGGTAAATGATTTGCTGCTATCTTTGGTTTGGGAGCCTTCTGCTTGCCTTCCAGGCCAATTCAGTTCAGAACCCCTCTGACTGTCAGACAAGGAGGAAAGGATAGATAGAGGCTGGGATTGGAGCTAAAGATAGGATGGATGGTGAAGGAGGAGGGGAGGAGAGGAGAGGAGAGGAGAGGAGAGGAGAGGAGAGGAGAGGAGAGGAGAGGAGAGGAGAGGAGAGGAGAGGAGAGGAGAGGAGAGGAGAGGAGAGGAGAGGAGAGGAGAGGAGAGGAGAGGAAGGATGGATGAACAGACACATCCATGTTGCTAGGGGTTCAGTGAGGCAGCAGTGCCAGCAGGAGAAAACAAACACAGAGCTCATTTTCTAGCTAAACGCAGCAAGAACGTTTGGCAAATTGGCTGAGAACAAGCTTAGGGAATGTTTAGGGGAACGAGCTGCCAAGACACGAATAGAGAGGAGGAGGGGAGGAGGGGGAGGAGGGGTGGAGGAGAGGAGGGGAGGAGGAGAGGAGGGGAGGAGGAGAGGAGGAGGAGAGGAGAGGAGGAGAAGAGGAGGGGAGGAGGAGGGGAGGAGGGGAGGAGGAGAGGAGGAGAGGAGGAGGGGAGGAGGGGAGGAGAGGAGGAGGGGAGATATACACTGAGTATACAAAACATTGACTGCCTGCTCTTTCCATGACATAGACTGACCAGGTGAATCCAGGTGAAAGCTATGATCCCTTATTGATGTCACATGTTAAATCCACTTCAATCGGTGTAGATGAAGGGGAGGAGACAGGTTAAAGAAGGATTTTTAAGCATTGAGACAATTGAGACATGGATTGTGTATGTGTGCCATTCAGAGGGTGAATGGGCAAGACAAAAGATTTAAGTGACTTTGAACAGGGTATGGTAGTAGGTGCCATGCACACCGGTTTGTGTCAAGAACTGCAACGCTGCTGGGTTTTTCACGCTCAACAGTTTCTCGTGTGTATCAAGAATGTTCCACCACCCAAAGGACATCCTGCCAACTTGACACAACTGAGGGAAGCATTGGAGTCAACATGGGCCAGCATCCCTGTGGAAGCTTTCGACACCTTGTAGAGTCCATTCCCTGACGAATTGAGGCTGTTCTGTGGGGGGTGCAACTCAATATTAGGAAGGTGTTCTTAATGTTTGGTATACTCAGTGTAGAAGAAGAAGAAGAAGAATAATGTCAACTCTATAAACAGCTCAGATACTGTTTGAAATCATTTCATATACTTTACTTTAGTTCTGCCTGATTGAGCATGCATGTTGCAATGGACAACTTCATTAAGTCCCAATCAACCTTAGAATGGTTCTCAAATACACTATACTCTGAAACCATCCAATGCCAGAAAGGACATTAAAAAATAAAAAAGTTTAATGATGAAGATGTGGATAACCCTGAAGCTGGGCAAAACCTTTTGAAATTACAACATTATATTCATTTCAACAATTTTTGCCCACTGGGTACAATTCTCCTTGTATTTGATGTTGTATGTTTTGATAAATCATGTCGCTGTGAACAGGCATATTTCCTCATGATGAATCATGTCATAGTGAACAGGTCTATTTCCTCATGATGAATCATGTCATAGTGAACAGGTCTATTTCCTCATGATGAATCATGTCACTGTAAACAGGTCTATTTACTCATGATGAATCATGTCCCTGTGAACAGGCCTATTTCCTCATGATGAATCATGTCATAGTGAACAGGTCTATTTCCTCATGATGAATCATGTCATAGTGAACAGGTCTATTTCCTCATGATGAATCATGTCACTGTAAACAGGTCTATTTCCTCATGATGAATCATGTCACTGTGAACAGGCCTATTTCCTCATGATGAATCATGTCCATGTGAACAGGCCTATTTCCTCATGATGAATCATGTCCCTGTGAACAGGTCTATTTCCTCATGATGAATCATGTCCCTGTGAACAGGCCTATTTCCTCATGATGAATCATGTCCCTGTGAACAGGTCTATTTCCTCATGATGAATCATGTCCCTGTGAACAGGCCTATTTCCTCATTGTGGGGAGAATACTGTTCCATTATATTCCATCTATTCAATTCAATTCCATAAACTAAGATTCATACCTGAGGGACAATTATAGTTGGGCATACAATGAGACAAGTAAACAACAACATACCCTTTTGCATTCTGTTACACTTCCTACGGTGTTCCAGCAGCTGTTGACAGTGTTTGTGTCTATTCTGTTCTGTGTTCCAGCAGCTGTTGACAGTGTTTGTGTCTATTCTGTTCTGTGTTCCAGCAGCTGTTGACAGTGTTTGTGTCTATTCTGTTCTGTGTTCCAGCAGCTGTTGACAGTGTTTGTGTCTATTCTGTTCTGTGTTCCAGCAGCTGTTGACAGTGTTTGTGTCTATTCTGTTCTGTGTTCCAGCAGCTGTTGACAGTGTTTGTGTCTATTCTGTTCTGTGTTCCAGCAGCTGTTGACAGTGTTTGTGTCTATTCTGTTCTGTGTTCCAGCAGCTGTTGACAGTGTTTGTGTCTATTCTGTTCTGTGTTCCAGCAGCTGTTGACAGTGTTTGTGTCTATTCTGTTCTGTGTTCCAGCAGCTGTTGACAGTGTTTGTGTCTATTCTGTTCTGTGTTCCAGCAGCTGTTGACAGTGTTTGTGTCTATTCTGTTCTGTGTTCCAGCAGCTGTTGACAGTGTTTGTGTCTATTCTGTTCTGTGTTCCAGCAGCTGTTGACAGTGTTTGTGTCTATTCTGTTCTGTGTTCCAGCAGCTGTTGACAGTGTTTGTGTCTATTCTGTTCTGTGTTCCAGCAGCTGTTGACAGTGTTTGTGTCTATTCTGTTATGTGTTCCAGGGAGCGATCGGACCAGGTGGTGCATCGGGTGCCCAGGGACCCCCCGGTCTGCAGGGTATGCCCGGAGAGAGAGGAGCCTCAGGCATCCCCGGACCTAAGGGAGACAGAGTGAGTGGGGAGCAGCAGAGGAATAGTCATATTAATGTAATGAAGCTAATGTGATGAAATGTAACGCAATGCAACTAATAATAATAAGCTGTGAAAGGGGCATGTTCTTAGCAACAGGACCTGCTGGAGACAATAGTAACAGATGTATGTTTGGCATTGGCATTAGCAAGAAGTGTCTCCAAATATGTTCCCAGTTATAATATAGTGTCAACAATTGATGTGATTGCATATTGAATTATATGCAGTTAGTGATGCAATTCTAATGTCATTGTGTTTGTGTCCCACAGGGCGACAATGGAGAGAAGGGACCTGAGGGTGCTTCTGGCAAAGACGGCTCAAGAGTGAGTGACCATCATCATCATCATCATCATCATCATCCACCGTATCCCCCAGCCATATAACCTCACACACTCAACCATTTAATATTCAACACATGTATAACGTCAATCACTCTACCATTTAATATTCAACACATTTAAATATTCCCTCCAGCAATTCCATGTATACACACACATGTTAAATTGTTCATTTGTTAATGGGCATTTCTGTACAGTGAGACAACAGCAGAAGGACAGACGTACTAAATATTGTACTGAAACATTTATGTTTTCCATTCCCTCTGTTTCTCAACCTTTCTCTATCTCTTCTAGGGTTTGACTGGTCCCATTGGTCCTCCCGGCCCAGCTGGTCCCAATGGAGAGAAGGTGAGCAATTTATCTTTGAACTTGTATAATAGTTAATTGGTTCATTGATTATTTTAATGATTGTATTAGATCAGTCATTAAAAAAAAACATACAGCCATATCACCTGTTGGGAGGTTACCTCTCACGTACTGTAGGATAACGACAGTCCATATGAGGTGTGATATATGGACTGATATCTGTATGATTGACCTCTGTGATTGACCTCTGACCTCTGTGTTTCCTCCTATAGGGTGAATCTGGTCCCTCTGGACCTTCTGGTGCTGCTGGTGCCCGTGGTGCTCCTGTAGGTACCACACACACACAGTCCACACACACACACACACACACACACACACACACACCACACACACACACACACACACACACACACACACACACACACACACACACAAACCCACCACACCACACACACACACACCCACAGCACACACACACAACACAGACACACAACACACAACACACACACACACACACCACACACACACACACAGAACAACACAAAACACACCACACACACACACCAGTCCACACACACACACACAGACACACACACAGTCCACAACACCATCCACACACACACATCACATTCCACACACACACATCCACACACACATCCACACACACACACAACAGTCCACACACCACACACACACACACACACACACACAGTCCACACACACACACAGTCCACACACACACACCACACACCACAACACACAGTCCACATACACACACAGTCCACACACACACACACAGTCCACACACACACACACACACACAGTCCACACACACACACAGTCCACACACACACACACACAGTCCACACATACACATACACACACACACACACACATCACAAATTAGGATAAGGTAATACTTACCAGCTGATCTACCCCCTAAACATTTTAAAAATAAAATACTTACCAGCTCTGCAGATTTTGCTGCGAAGAGAGAGAATCGTTAGATCATTTGATAAGGTACTGTCCATATGTAGCTTGTTTTTGGTCACAGGTCCAGGAATGGCTGAAGAATTGCAACATTTACTTGGAGCTAACCCTGCAGATAGCATTACTGGGTGATCTGAAAAGTCATAGTCAATCGATCAATAATATAATAATACTTTTAGCAAAAATGTTTATTTTCAATGTACAATCTGTAGAAACAATGAGAATAGAAGGGTTCAGAACTTTTGTGAAACATCATAGTACAGTTGAGAAATATATGGCAAATAGAAATCTAATATGGATGGTGTTAAGAGATAGATGGGAGGTGATGAATGGAGCTGAAGGTTGGGACTAATAACAGCTAACAACAACAAAATAACTAATGTAAAACATACTGTGTCCATAATAAGTATATATGTTATAGGTTGAGAACTTCTGTGAAAGAGCACAGTTTGAAAGATATGGCATATAGAAGCAAACCGGATGGAAATCATGAAAATGATCGGAGAGGTTTACGGTAGAGGAAGTTTAGGAGTAAAAACAAACAAAATGGAATTATTAATTATTGTAAAATTGACTGTGTCCATGAAATGTATATAGAATGTATAAGCTGGAAGTAGAGACCTAAGCGTTCTACCCCCCCCTTACTTATAAATATCAATAAATAAAAAATTGATAAATAAGAAAATAACAAAAATAATATATACAGAAAATATGACAAAAAAATTCAAAAAAACATTGTAAAGTGGTTATCCCACTGGCTATAAGGTGAATGCACCAATTTGTAAGTCGCTCTGGATAAGAGCGTCTGCTAAATGACGTAAATGTAAATGTAAATGTTGTTCAGGAAAGTAATAAAGGAAAATATATTTTTTTAAGGGATATGTATATATACAGTGAGGGAAAAAAGTATTTGATCCCCTGCTGATTTTGTACATTTGCCCACTGACAAAGAAATGACAAGTCTATAATTTTAATGGTAGTTTTATTTGAACAGTGAGAGACAGAATAACAACAACAAAATCCAGAAAAACGCATGTCAAAAATTTTATAAATTGATTTGCATTTTAATGAGGGAAATAAGTATTTGACCCCTCTGAAAAACATGACTTAGTACTTGGTGGCAAAACCCTTGTTGGCAATCACAGAGGTCAGACATTTCTTGTAGTTGGCCACCAGGTTTGCACACATCTCAGGAAGGATTTTGTCCCACTCCTCTTTGCAGATCTTCTCCAAGTCATTAAGGTTTCGAGGCTGACGTTTGGCAACTCGAAACCTTCAGCTCCCTCCACAGATTTTCTATGGGATTAAGGTCTGGAGACTGGCTAGGCCACTCCAGGACCTTAATGTGCTTCTTCTTGAGCCACTCCTTTGTTGCCTTGGTCGTGTGTTTTGGGTCATTGTCATGCAAGAATACCCATCCACGACTCATTTTCAATGCCCTGGCTGAGGGAAGGAGGTTCTCACCCAAGATTTGACGGTACATGGCGCCGTCCATCTTCCCTTTGATGCGGTGAAGTTGTCCCCGTAGCAGAAAAACACCCCCAAAGCATAATGTTTCCACCTCCATGTTTGACGGTGGGGATGTTGTTCTTGGGGTCATAGGCAGCATTCCTCCTCCTCCAAACACTGCGAGTTGAGTTGATGCCAAAGAGCTCAATTTTGGTCTCATCTGACCACAACACTTTCACCCAGTTCTCCTCTGAATCATTCAGATGTTCATTGGCAAACTTCAGACGGGCCTGTATATGTGCTTTCTTGAGCAGGGGGACCTTGCAGGTGCTGCAGGATTTCAGTCCTTCACAGCGTAGTGTGTTACCAATTGTTTTCTTGGTGACTATGGTCCCAGCTGCCTTGAGATCATTGACAAGATCCTCCCGTGTAGTTCTGGGCTGATTCCTCACCGTTCTCATGATCATTGCAACTCCACGAGGTGAGATCTTGCATGGAGCCCCAGGCCGAGGGAGATTGACAGTTCTTTTGTGTTTCTTCCATTTGCGAATAATCGCACCAACTGTTGTCACCTTCTCACCGAGCTGCTTGGCGATGGTCTTGTAGCCCATTCCAGCCTTGTGTAGGTCTACAATCTTGTCCCTGACATCCTTGGAGAGCTCTTTGGTCTTGGCCATGGTGGAGAGTTTGGAATCTGATTGATTGATTGCTTCTTTGGACAGGTGTCTTTTATACAGGTAACAAGCTGAGATTTAAGAGTGTGCTCGTAATCTCAGCTCGTTACCTGTATAAAAGACACCTGGGAGCCAGAAATCTTTCTGATTGAGAGGGGGTCAAATACTTATTTCCCTCATTAAAATGCAAATCAATTTCTAAAATTTTTGACATGCGTTTTTCTGGATTTTTTTGTTGTTATTCTCCCTCTCACTGTTCAAATAAACCTACCATTAAAATTATAGACTGATCATTGCTTTGTCAGTGGGCAAACGTACAAAATCAGCAGGGGATCAAATACTTTTTTCCCTCACTATATATATATATATATTTAAAAATAAAATTAAAAAATATTTACTTTTGGTCCTGTATGGATCAGTTGGTAGAGCATGGTGCTTGCAATGCCAGGATTGTGGGTTCGATTCCCGGGGCCACCCATATGTTAAGTTTATGCACACCTGACTGTAACACGCTTTGGATAAAAGTGTCTGCTAAATGGCTTATATTACATCAGAAGGATGTTTTTACTTTGCCTCAGCTATCTGATTAAGGTCTACTACCATATTTAGGTTACTGTATTGATCCAGAGTAGAGAATTACATTCACTCACAATCCTATTTTCCTGTTATACTCTCCACCTATCAATAGAACAATTGAATGAACACAGAACTTGATACAGTACATGATACACGATGCTCATTTGAACAAGGAAGTGGATGCTGCTCAACTTGTCCGCTCTTCTCTCCTGACAGGGTGACAGGGGCGAGACAGGACCTCCAGGGCCTGCTGGTTTCGCTGGGCCTCCTGTAAGTATCACACCAAGGACAGTACTGTCCATGCACTTTCTCTCACTATCAGTCCTACCGTCAACAACCCAGACTGCAAAAATGTACAGGACCATCTCATCCATTCAAATGGATGATAAGATGGATGATGATGATGCAAGCTGTTTGTTGCATGCTGAACGAGCATCTGTCTGAGCTGTCTTTTCTCCCCGTGTCCCACCCCAGGGATCTGATGGTCAGCCCGGAGCCAAGGGAGAGCAGGGAGAGGGTGGACAGAAGGGAGACGCTGGTGCCCCCGGACCCCAGGGGCCCTCCGGAGCTCCTGGACCTTCCGTACGTTTCACTTTGTCCCGAAATGTACAAATATCGAGTAGTTATTGGTTACGAAATACTCTGTTGGAGTTACTTGCTTCACATTTCTTCATAAAACTGACTATCGGGCAATTTCCTTCATTTCAGGGACCTACTGGCGTTTCTGGACCTAAAGGTGCTCGCGGTGCTCAGGGACCCCCTGTAAGTATAAATCTCATATTGTATATTTCATTTCTGCATTATTAATTGTTTTATTTTATGTTTCCATTGCATCAACCACCTCTCTCACTAACAGGGTGCCACTGGTTTCCCTGGAGCTGCCGGCAGAGTGGGACCCCCTGGTCCCAATGTAAGTACAATCACCTGTCAGCAATACACAACTCAAACACTCACATCTTTTGTCACCCTATCTGAGCATTGGTATTGAAGATTAAACGACACTGATTGCTATACTTGCAAACTAGAATTGTTCATTGTAATCTGAAGTGTTGGATTTGACTAGAATAGAAAAGGCATTGTTTTAATGTGGGTGTAACAGTGTTGGTAATTCCAAGTTTTTCCAATAGTTTTCAGATATATTTCAGAACATACAGGTGTGATGCCTGTGTTTTTCCAGTCACACCTGGCTATTACGGTCATTCAGAGGCTGAAATCAATCATCACTTTGTTAAAATTGTACAACATAATATCTAGCTGTACATTTTGACATATCAACAAAAATGGATTCCATTTCGCATGGCAACAGAACCTTGCATTCAGAATCCCATGCATCCTTCTAGGTTTGGAATCAATACACAGACCAACACATAATCATTCAGCATCACTATAGTATTTAGTATAGTATTTAGTACAGTATTCACTACAGTATTTACTATAGTATTTAGTATATTGTTTAGTATAGTATTCACTATAGTATTTACTATAGTATTTACTATAGTATTTACTATAGTATATAGTATAGTATTTACTATAGTATTTTCTCCCACTGGAACCAGTAGGGAATAACACTGGATGTAGACGAAATCAACCTGGTTTCATTATGTTCTTCTGTGGGCAGGTTCAGTCTGAATGGTTGTTATCCCAGAGAGTATTGACCTGCTCCTGTCTGTCTATGGGCAGTTTCAGACAGATTGGTTGTTATCCCAGAGAGTATTGACCTGCTCCTGTCTGTCTATGGGCAGTTTCAGACAGATTGGTTGTTACCCCAGAGAGTATTGACCTGCTCCTGTCTGTCTATGGGCAGTTTCAGACAGAATGGTTGTTATCCCAGAGAGTATTGACCTGCTCCTGTCTGTCTATGGGCAGTTTCAGACAGAATGGTTGTTATCCCAGAGAGTATTGACCTGCTCCTGTCTGTCTATGGGCAGTTTCAGACAGATTGGTTGTTACCCCAGAGAAGTGGCAGTCGGTGTCGTTTAATTTTTTTATGAGCATGGCCTTATTTCTATTACAGCATATTGGATGACTGTCATTTATATTCCATTCATCCAGTTCAATGTAACATCGATAGGTTTAGGCTACTACATGATACTCTAATGTTCCCTATTCCCATCATGAGGTTGCTACAACCTAGCCTATGAATTAAAGTTTACAACATACTGTAGGTGCACATGTCGAGAGAAATTTGAGTAATCAAGGTGACAGACATTGACTCATTCAATACCTCCTTGTATAATCTTGCCTGCATCTAGCTGATCTAGGATGTAATCATTAGTCCAACAGTTGCAAATGAGAGTTTCTATTGGACAAATTCAGATATGTTTATCACTGTTGCTTCCATTTAAGAAACGTTTTTCAACAGAACCGGCAGAATGAATACACCCCTGATCACATGCAAACACAGTTCACTTTCATAACAGCCAGATCGTTGTATAATTCCTTCTCGCATCTGAAGTTGGAAGTTAACGTACATTTAGGTTATAGTTTTGGCAAGTCGGTTAGGACATCTACTTTGTGCATGACACAAGTCGTTTTTCCAACAATTGTTAACAGACAGATTATTTCACTTATAATTCAATGTATCACAATTCCAGTGGGTCAGAAGTTTATATACACTAAATTGACTGTGCCTTTAAACAATTTGGAAAATTCCAGAAAAATTATGTCATGCCTTTAGAAGCTTCTGATAGGCTAATTGACATCATTTGAGTCAATTGGAGGTGTACCTATGGATGTATTTCAAGGCCTACCTTCAAACTCAGTGCCTCTTTGCTTGACATAATGGGAAAATCAAAAGAAATCAGCCAAGACCTCAGAAAAGAAATTGTAGACCTCCACAAGTCTGGTTCATCCTTGGGAGCAATTTCCAAACGCCTGAAGGTACCATGTTCATCTGTACAAACAATAGTACGCAAGTATAAACACCATGGGACCACGCAGCTGTCATACTCCTCAGGAAGGACACGTGTTCTGTCTCCTAGAGATGAACGTACTTTGGTGCTAAAAAGTGCAAATCAATCCCAGAACAACAGCAAAGGACCTTGTGAAGATGCTGGAGGAAACAGGTACAAAAGTATCTATATCCACAGTAAAACAAGTCCTATATCAACATAACCTGAAAGGCCGCTCAGCAAGGAAGAAGCCACTGCTCCAAAACTGCCATTAAAAAGGCAGACTACGGTTTGCAACTGCACATGGGGACAAAAATCGTACTTTTTGGAGAAATGTCCTCTGGTCTGATGAAACAAAAATAGAACTGTTTGGCCATAATGACCATCGTTATGTTTGGAGGAAAAATTGGGTACTTGGAAGCCGAAGAACACCATCCCAACCGTGAAGCACGGGGGTGGCAGCATCATGCTGTGGGGGTGCTTTGCTGCAGGAGGGACTGGTGCACTTCACAAAATAGATGGCATCATGAGGAAGGAAAATGATGTGGATATATTGAAGCAACATCTCAAGACATCAGTCAGGAAGTTAAAGCTTGGTCGCAAATGGGTCTTTCAACTGGACAATGACCCCGAGCATACATCCAAAGTTGTGGCAAAATGGCTTAAGGACAACAAAGAAGGTATTGGAGTGGCCATCACAAAGCCTTGACCTCAATCCTATAGAAAATGTGTGGGCAGAACTGAAAAGGTGTGTGCGAGCAAGGAGGCCTACAAACCTGACTCAGTTACACCAGCTCTGTCAGGAGGAATGGGCCAAAATTCACCCAATTTATTGTGGGAAGCTTGTGCAAGGCAACCTGAAATGTTTGACCCAAGTTAAACAATTTAAAGGTAATGCTACCAAATACTAATTGAGTGTATTTAAACTTCTGACCCACTGGGAATGTGATGAAAGAAATAAAAGCTGAAATAAATAATTCTCTCTACTATTATTCTGACATTTCACATTCTTAAAATAAAGTGGTGATCCTAACTGACCTAAGACAGGGAATTTTTACTAGGATTAAATGTCAGGAATTGTGAAAAACTGAGTTTAAATGTATTTGGCTAAGGTGTATGTAAACTTCCCACTTCAACTGTACGTGCTCTCCTCCTCTCACCCTTTCCCTTCGCTTGTGGACTTCAGTGCACAACACATCAGCTGTCTGTTACCAGGCAACAAAAAAAACATTCCAAGCCAAACCTTCATATCATAACCGCTAACTGCTACACACATCCTACATCGTTGTCATTACTAGAACTGACGCGTTAGTAAACCCGCTACAATCACACAGTACAGTGTACAGTCAGCAAGCAGTTACACCGGCAAGCTCCGGTGGCAATAAATTAATAAAACCAAAAGCTTAACATAAATTGGAAGAGTTCCAGTGTTGGATAGCCATAGCCAGCTAGCTAACATAGCATCCCTCTCTGTTTGAGCCAGGTGTTTGAGTAGGCTAAATTAGCTAGCTGCATTCACTAGCTACGTAAGTGAAAGTTAAAAAAAATATGAAATATAGCTAGCTCTCTCTATCGCTTCTCCTTTATTTTTGAATAAATTAATTTGTTAATTTGTTCAACTAGTGTCTTTCTCTCTCTTTGAGTCAACTACTCACCACATTTTATGCACTGCAGTGCTACCTAGCTGTAGTTTAGGCTTTCAGTACTCGATTCATTCTCTGATCCTTTGATTGGGTGGACAACATGTCAGTTCATGCTGCAAGAGCTCTGATAGGTTGGAGGATGTCCTCCGGAAGTTGTTATAATTACTGTGTAAGTCTATGGAAGGGGGGGTGAGAACCACGAGCCTCCTAGGTTTTGTATTGAAGTCAATGTACCCAGAGGAGGACGGAAGCTAGCTGTCCTCCGGCTACACCATGGTGCTACCCTACAGAGTGCTGTTAAGGCTATTGTATAGTCGTGGTCAAAAGTTTTGAGAATGACACAAGTATTGGTCTTCACAAAGTTTGCTGCTTCAGTGTTTTTAGATATTTTTGTCAGATGTTACTATGGTATACTGAAGTATAATTACAAGCATTCCATAAGTGTCAAAGGCTTTTATTGACAATTACATTACGTTTATGCAAAGAGTCAATATTTGCAGTGTTGACCCTTCTTTTTCAAGACCTCTGCAATCCGCCCTGGCATGCTGTCAATTCACTTCTGGGCCACATCCTGACTGATGGCAGCCCATTCTTGCATAATCAATGCTTGGATTTTTGTTTGTGGGTTTTTGTTTGTCCGCCCGCCTCTTGAGGATCGACCATAAGTTCTCAATGGGATTAAGGTCTGGGGAGTTTCCTGGCCATGGACCCAAAATGTCGATGTTTTGTTCCCTGAGCCACTTAGATATCACTTTTGCCTTATGGCAAGGTGCTCCACCATGCTGGAAAAGGCATTGGTCGTCACCAAACTGTTCTTGGATGGTTGGGAGAAGTTGCTCTCGGAGGATGTGTTGGTACCATTCTTTATTCATGGCTGTGTTCTTAGGCAAAATTGTGAGTGAGCCCACTCCCTTGGCTGAGAAGCAACCCCACACATGAATGGTCTCAGGATGCTTTATTGTTGGCATGACACAGGACTGATGGTAGCGCTCACCTTGTCTTCTCCGGACAAGGTGTTTTCCGGATGCCCCAAACAATCGGAAAGGGGATTCATCAGAGAAAATGACTTTACCCCAGTCCTCAGCAGTCCAATCCCTGTACCTTTTGCAGAATATCAGTCTGTCCCTTATGTTTTTCCTGGAGAGAAGTGGCTTCTTTGCTGCCCTTCTTGACACAAGGCCATCCTCCAAAAGTCTTAGCTTCACTGTGCGTGCAGATGCACTCACACCTGCCTGATGCCATTCCTGAGCAAGCTCTGCACTGGTGGTGCCCCGATCCCGCAGCTGAATCAACTTTAGGAGACGGTCCTGGCGCTTGCTGGACTTTCTTGGGCACCTTGAAGCCTTCTTCACAACAATTGAACCTCTCTCCTTGAAGTTCTTGAAGATCCGATAAATGGTTGATTTAGGTGCAATCTTACTAGCAGCAATATCCTTGCCTGTGAAGCCCTTTTTGTGCAAAGCAATGATGACGGCACGTGTTTCCTTGCAGGTAACCATGGTTAACAGAGGAAGAACAATGATTTCAAACACCACTCTCCTTTTAAAGCTTCCAGTCTGTTATTCTAACTCAATCAGCATGACAGAGTGATCTCCAGCCTTGTCCTCGTCAACACTCTCACCTGTGTTAATGAGAGAATTGCTGACATGATGGCAGCTGGTCCTTTTGTGGCAGGGCTGAAATGCAGTGGAAATGTTTTTTTTGGGATTAAGTTCATTTTCATGGCAAAGAGGGACTTTGCAATTAATTGCAATTCATCTGATCACTCTTCATGACATTTTGGAGTATATGCAAATTGCCATCATCAAAACTGAGGCAGCAGACTTTGTGAAAATTAGTATTTGTGTCATTCTCAAAACTGTAGACTGTAGACCTTCATTGCAAAACAGTGTGTTTTAATGAATTATTTGGTGCCGTGATACATTTAGTATATTTTTATCTAAAAAGGATAACTTTTCTAATGTTTCACTATTTACATTTTTATGAAATTCACTGAGGAGGATGGTCCTCCCCTTCCTCCTCTGAGGAGCCTCCATTGTCCCAGAGAGTATTGACCTGCTCCTGTCTGTCTGTGTCTGTCTGTCATGTTTTGTATGCTACATTTCTGGTTTTAACCCTGCTGATTGGTTGATTGACTGATTGGTTGATTGGTTGCTTGATTGACTGGTTGATCAGTTGATCAGTTGAGTGATTGACTGATTGCTTGATTGATTGAACGATTGATGTGTCTCTGCAGGGTAACCCTGGTGCTGCTGGTCCCGCTGGCCCTTCTGGTAAAGATGGTCCTAAAGGTGTGCGTGGAGACGGTGGACCCCCAGGCAGGCAGGGAGACGCTGGGCTGCGTGGAGCTGCTGGAGCCCCTGGAGAGAAGGGAGACGCTGGAGAGGATGGTCCCCCTGTAAGTTCACCTGTTTATCACTACAGTACTGTCCTCCAAGCTCCAACCCGGAGAATACTGGATGGGCTTGATAACTCTTATTCAGCCCAGCACCCTACTAAGCAAAAAAGGGGTAATAAATGCTTAATTCACCTTTTATCACAACCTTCCTCAAATACAGGTCCTGCAGGTCCTTAAGCTTCATTCAACATTGAAAAGTTATTTTGACCACTGCGTTTTGAACTTGTGGTGATCTTCAGATTGTGACGTTACTGACAACACACATCCCACCACCCAAGTTAACACTGAAATACATTCATTTTGGGGTTTTGCAGCTATAAAACTATACTGGCTTCATTTCTTAAAAGTCTCTCTTGGGTTTACTTCCAACCCACCGGCACGGACATCAGTCCAGGGAATGAAAGAAAGGCCCTTTGTAATGGACAACACAATTCCCTCATCCCCATCACAACACAGGGCCGTCAGTATGTGTTCATCACTGACCCAATAACCAGTCCAAACAAACTGCTGTCTGCCGGGTCCAGGCCTTAATAGCACCTGTAGGTTATTGTACTTCCAGAGAGGGGCCAAGTGTTTTACTTTGTACTTCCACTCCCCGCAGCACAATTCACCTCTGAGCAGTACTGAACTAACAGCTGGCATAGCTGGCAGTTACTGAAATTGGACAGGCACGTACAGAGAACAGACACTTATGGCCTGACTCATATAAGTGGAGCAGGATACCGTGTACACAAAAGGCTTTTTCTTGTTTTTCAGTACGTTTATAGATTTTTATAGTTTTTCTCTTGATTGATTGTTTGTTGTTGTTGTTGAAAACACTCTCCAGAGATCCTTGATAATAACACACTGTCCTCTCTTCCTCCTCTCCTCCTCTCCTCCTCTCCTCCTCTCCTCCTCTCTTCCTCCTCTCCTCCTCTCTTCCTCCTCTCCTCCTCTCTTCCTCCTCTCCTCCTCTCTTCCTCTCTTCCTCCTCTCTTCCTCCTCTCCTCCTCTCTTCATCCTCTCTCCCTCCTGTCTTCCTCCTCTCCTCTCTTCCCTCTCTTCCTCCTCTCCTCCTGTCTTCCTCCTCTCCTCCTCTCTTCCTCTCTCTTCCTCCACTCCTCTTGTCTTCCTCCTCTCCTCCTCTCTTCCTCTCTCTTCCTCCTCTCCTCCTGTCTTCCTCCTCTCCTCCTCTTCCTCCCTCTCCTCCTGTCTTCCTCTCTCCTCCTTTCTTCCTCCTCTCTCCTCCTCCTTCTCCTCCTCTCCTCCTTCTTCCTCCTCTCCTCCTTCTTCCTCCTCTCCTCCTGTCTTCCTCCTCTCCTCCTCTCTTCCTCCTCCTCTCCTCTCCCTTCCTCCTCTTCCTCCTCTCCTCCTTCTTCCTCCTCTCCTCCTGTCTTTCCTCCTCTCCTCCTCGTCTTCCTCCTCTCCTCCTGTCTTCCTCCTCTCCTCCTGTCTTCCTCCTCTCCTCCTCTCTTCCTCCTCTCCTCCTCTCTTCCTCCTCCTGTCCTCCCTCCTCTTTCTTCCTCCTCTCCTCTCTCCTCTCATCCTCTCTCGCTCCTCTCCTCCTTCTTCCTCCTCCTCCTCCTCCCTCCCTCTCCTCTCCTTCTTCCTCCTCTCCTCCTCTCTTCCTCCTCTCCCTCTGTCTTCCTCCTCTCCTCCTCTTCCTCCTTTCCTCTCTCTCCTTCCTCTCTCTCCTCCTCTCCTCCTCCTCCTCCTCTCCTCCTCTCCTCCTCCTCTCCTCCTCTCTTCCTCCTCTCCTCCTTTCTTCCTCCTCTCCTCCTCTCTTCTCCTCTCTCCTCCTGTCTCCTCCTCCTCCCCTCTCTCTCCTCCTCTCCTCCTGTCTTCCTCCTCTCCTCCCTCTTCCTCCCTCCCTGTCTTCCTCCTCTCCTCCTTCTTCCTCCCTCCTCCTTCTTCCCCTCTCCTCCTCTCTTCCTCTCTCCTCCTGTCTTCCTCTCCTCCTCTCTTCCTCCTCTCCTCCTGTCTTCCTCCTCTCCTCCTGTCTTCCTCCTCTCCTCCTCTCTTCCTCCTCTCCTCCTGTCTTCCTCCTCTCCTCCTCTCTTCCTCCTCTCCTCCTGTCTTCCTCCTCTCCTCCTCTCTCTCTTCCTCCTCCTCCTCCTGTCTTCCTCCTCTCCTCCTCCTTCTTCCTCCCCCTCCTCCTTTCTTCCTCCTCTCCTCCTCTCCTCCCTGTCTTCCTCTCCCCTCTGCCTCCGTCCTCTCCCCGTCTTCCCTCCGTCTGTCTTCCCCCTCCATCCTTCCCCGTCTTCCCCTCCTCCTGTCTTCCTCCTCTCCTCCTCTCTTCCTCCTCTCCTCCTGTCTTCCTCCTCTCGTCCTGTCTTCCTCATCCCAGGGTCCCGATGGGCCTTCAGGTCCTTCAGGTCTGGCTGGACAGCGTGGTATTGTTGGTCTTCCAGGACAGCGTGGAGAGAGAGGTTTCCCTGGCCTGCCCGGACCCTCTGTAAGTCACATACATAACATTACACATCCCATTTATTAATTACACGATTAATTAATTAATTCATTATATGATTCATTAGCCTATTATAGATGAGACTATCACATAATAATATTGTACTGTCAATTGCCTTGTACCCACCCAACCCATTTTCAAGTAAGAATGGATGGATGGATGATGGTAGTCCCCTGTAGCTCAGTTGGTAGAGCATGACGCTTGCAACGCCAGGGTTGTGGGTTCGTTTCCCATGGGGGGCCAGTATGAAAAAAAAATGTATGCACTCACTAACTGTAAGTCACTCTGGGTAAGAGTGTCTGCTAAATGACTAAAATGTAAAAAAAAAAAAAAAAGAAAAAAGAAAGTAATGGATATTCAAAGAAAAAGATCAGTGAATATATGACCAGACTATTGATTAGAGTGTCGCCCCCAATTGGTGGTCCACCAACTAACCTGTGTGTCCATCTCCTCAGGGAGAGCCTGGTAAACAAGGAGCTCCTGGTGGAGGCGGAGACCGTGGAGCCCCTGGCCCAGTGGGACCCCCTGGACTGACTGGACCCGCTGGAGAGCCTGGTAGAGAGGTCAGAGTCTGTCACATAACATGGGTTGTGTCTGAAATGGCATCCTAGTTCTTATATTGTGTACTATTTTTGAACAGGGTCCGCATAGGGCTCTGGTCAAATCTGGTGCACTATAAAGGGCATAGTGTGCCATACAATGCAGCACAGTATTAACAATATGGCTTGTCATGGTCAACCCTATACCTGTAGTAAAATACTTTACCTCACTGTCACGTTTGATGCTTCTAATATTAAACAAGGTGTAATTGTCTCTCAGGGCAACGCTGGTTCTGATGGACCCCCTGGTAGAGATGGAGCCACTGGAATCAAGGGTGACCGTGGTAACACCGGACCTGCTGGTGCTCCTGGTTCCCCAGGTGGTAATGGTGCCCCCGGCCCCGTCGGCCCCACTGGCAAGCAGGGAGACAGGGGAGAGGCTGTGAGTATACACCCTATAACACTCCCCCTAACATCCCCATGGCAACCCCTTTTACACCCTGTAGAACCCCTATCACACCCCTAAAACCTCCTCTCTTGAGAGGACTTCAGGGGTGAACAACCCAGGCCATGTTTATGTTTTCTGTCCATGTTCTCTTGCCAGGAAAAACTGGATATGTGATAGACTTTAGTTGGATATTATTGCTTTAACTAACCAATAAAGTTATTGGGTATAACGGTCTGCTCAAATACTGTTGTATTGCAGCCCTTCCTAACCCTGTGTGTGTCTCTTGGCTATGCTATAGGGAGCTCAAGGACCCGCTGGACCTGCCGGGCCTGCTGGAGCCAGAGGGATGGCTGGACCGCAAGGACCCCGTGGAGACAAGGGTGAGGCTGGAGAGGGGGGCGAGAGAGGACAGAAGGGACACAGAGGATTCACCGGTCTGCAGGGTCTGCCCGGACCTCCCGTAAGTACCCCCAAATCTTCCTGTACCTCCTAATCTTCCTGTACCACCTAATCTCCCTGTACCCCTAATCTCCCTGTACCACCTAATCTCCCTGTACCCCTAATCTCCCTGTACCCCCTAATCTTCCTGTACCCCCTAATCTTCCTGTACCACCTAATCCCCCTGTACCCCCAAATCTCCCTGTACCCTTAATCTTCCTGTACCACCTAATCTCCTTGTACCCCTAATGTCCTTGTACCCATAATCTTCCTGTACCCCCAAATCTCCCTGTACTCCTAATCTCCCTGCATCCCCTAATCTCCCTGTACCCCTAATCTCCCTGTACCCCTAATCTTACTGTACCCTGTAATCTCCCTGTACCCCATAATCTCCCTGTACCCCTAATCTTCCTGTACCCCTTAATCTCCCTGTTCCCCTAATCTCCCTGTACCCCTAATCTCCTGTACCCCATAATATTCCTGTACCCCTAATCTCCCTGTCCCTAATCTCCCTGTACCCCCTAATCTCCCTGTACCCCTAATCTCCCTGTACACCAAATCTCCCTGTACCCCCTAATCTCCCTGTACCCCCTAATCTTCCTGTACCCTGTAATCTCCCTGTACCCACTAATCTCCCTGTACCCCTAATCTTCCTGTAACCCTTGATCTTCCTGTACCCCTAATCTCCCTGTACCCCCTAATCTCCCTGTACCCTAATCCCCCTGTACCCCTAATCTTCCTGTACCCCTAATCTCCCTGTACCCTAATCCCCCTGTACCCCCTAATCTTCCTGTACCCCCTAATCTTCCTGTACCCCTTAATCTCCCTTAACCCTTTATTTTTCTATACTTCAAACTCTCTATACCTCAAAATCTCTCTGTATCCCAAATCTCTCTATACCATAGAAATCTCCCTGTACCCTTTATCTGTAGTTGTGCATATCCTATAGATGTTGTCTCACCGTGTCTCTCCCCATAGGGTCAAGCTGGAGACCAGGGTGCCTCTGGACCTGCCGGACCAAGTGGATCAAGAGTGAGTATAGACAGAAGCGTTAACAACTCTTACACAGAGTTTTGAGATGTACCCTTCCTTATTGTCAGCCAAAGAGCATGACAGGCAGAGCTCTAGTCTACAGTACAGTAAATCTAAATCCTTGTGTGTGTGTCTTGTTTAGGGACCTCCCGGACCTGTTGGTCCCTCTGGAAAGGATGGTTCCAACGGTATGCCCGGTCCCATTGGACCCCCCGGACCCCGTGGTCGCTCCGGAGAGACTGGTCCCTCTGTGAGTAACGCTCTCGTCTCCCATTTATCTTTCACCTTATCTTAGTACCAGAGAGGAGAGGAGAGGAGGAGAGGAAGGAGAGGAGGAGAGGGAGAGGAGAAGAGGAGAGAGAGGAGAGGAGAGGAAGAGGATGCAGGATAGATAGGAGTTCAGGTTTCGAGCTCTGATAGTGATCTAGGAGAGCATCTTATCTGCTTGTCAGGGTAGCCTTGTTCATTTGAGACAGCAGCCAGCCATATGAACACTTGATGCCACCTGCTCTGTGTTTTTCCTCCTCTGGAATACCTATGGCACTGCCCTGGTAGCAGCACATCACCTGTACCTCGTAGTCTAGCGTCTTGATTTTCCAATTTCTTCAATCAATTAAGGATTCTATCTTTCTATCTGTGTATCTCAGGGTCCCCCTGGAAACTCTGGGCCCCCTGGTCCTCCTGGTCCTCCCGGTCCTGGCATCGACATGTCTGCCTTCGCTGGCCTGTCACAGCCTGAGAAGTCACCCGATCCCCTGAGGTACATGAGGGCCGACCAGGCCTCCGGAAACCTGAGGACGCACGATGCTGAGGTCGACGCCACACTCAAGTCCCTCAACAACCAGATCGAGAACATCCGCTCCCCTGAGGGCTCCAAGAAGAACCCTGCACGTACCTGCAGAGACCTGAAGCTGTGCCACCCCGACTGGAAGAGCGGTGAGTGGCGGTATAGGAGCGAAGACTGGCTCTTTTTTAGGGGTCAAGAGTTTTAGGCAAGCAACATGACTTGACCAGGAAAAACTCGGGGTCCTATAGTTTCTCCTGGTCAGGTGACGTTTCTCCTGCCCCTACTGATTAGGTTGGGTAAAACTCCATAATGTTTAGGAAGTCTGGAAGGTTCTGTATTGTTCAAAAGAGAAAGTAAATATGACCATGTGTGTTACAGTTACATAGGAAGAACTACTGATTTAATCTGACCCGTCTCCTTCTCCTCTGTCTGTCTGCAGGTGAGTACTGGATCGACCCTAACCAGGGCTGCACCATCGACGCCATCAAGGTCTACTGTAACATGGAGTCTGGAGAGTCCTGCGTCTACCCCAAGCCCGCCAGCATCCCCAAGAAGAACTGGTGGTCCAGCAAGAGCAAGTCTGCCAAACACATCTGGTTCGGAGAGACCATGAACGGAGGATTCCACGTGAGTCACGATTCAATCTCTCTTCAGTCTCCTCTATATTATCTTGATCATACAATCATGATTCTTCCTCTTCAATCTCAGATGAGATCTGTTTAGTGTGCATTACACCTATTTACTCAAGCCTCTCTGTGATTAGTCTGTTTCAGTCCTTTAGGGGATTCCTGTCTTTTGACTCAATACGACACAATTACTTTTTAAGTACATTATCTCAATCAATGCCACTAGTCAGTTAAAGTTCTGATATAGTTCTGATATAATTACGTCATTGATTCTTACATCCTGTCTCCCCCTCCTCTCTCACTAGTTTTAACCATAGACATCGTAAAAAATTATATCCATCGTTGTACTGGTTCTGACCTCTCTGTTCTCCCCTACTCTCTCTCTCTCTCTCTGCTGCCCTCTACAGTTCAGCTATGGCGATGACAGCCTGGCAGCCAACACAGCCAGCATCCAGATGACCTTCCTGCGGCTGCTGTCCACCGAGGCTAGCCAGAACCTCACCTACCACTGTAAGAACAGCGTGGCCTACATGGACGGGGCCACGGGCAACCTGAAGAAGGCCGTGCTGCTGCAGGGGTCCAACGATGTGGAGATCAGAGCCGAGGGCAACAGCCGCTTCACGTACAGCGTCATGGAGGACGGCTGCACGGTGAGAGGAGGAAAACACACACACTCGTACACACACACACACACACACACACACACACACACACACACACACACACACACACACACACACACACACACACACACACACACACACACCCACACACACACACACACACCACATCACACACAACACACACACATACCACACACACCACACACAACACACCAACCACCACACCACACACACACACACACAACACCCCACACCACACACCACACACACCCACACACACACAACAAAACTCATACATACAACACACACACACCCACACTCATACACACACCACACACACACTCCATACCTACACACCACACACACCACACACACTCATACACACACCAGCACCCACCACACCACCCACACTCATACATACATTACACACACACACACACACACACACCCACACACCACAACCACACACACACACCACACACCCACCCACTCATACCACACACACACACACACCATACATCACACACACACACACACTCATTACATACACCCCACACAATCTACACACACCCAACACTCAACCTACCACCCCAAACTAGCAACAGCATACAACGTGATGGGGAATGGCTGCACGGTGATGAAAACACACAGAACAGTCTTGAGACTATATAACCCACGAATGCACTAATTCACTGTCCACTGTCCCCTATCAAAATATCTGTAACATCTCGGTCTCTCTGTCCACAGAAACACACAGGAGCATGGAGCAAGACAGTGATTGAGTACAGATCACAGAAGACCAGCCGGCTGCCCATCGTGGACATTGCTCCCGTGGACATTGGAGGAGTGGACCAGGAGTTTGGAGTTGATGTCGGCGCCGTCTGCTTCTTGTAAAGAAAAAGGAGCAGAGAGAGGAACACACACTTCTATCAAAAAAAAGGAAGAATGAAAGAGAGAATAGAGAAAGATCAAGACACTTTTTTTGTTTTTTTTTAAGTAAAAAGTGCTTTTTCCAACTAAGTCGTACTCCTGGATATCTGCACTGAATGGCACCGGCAATATTCATCTGTGATTTCATCGCCTTCCAGTCTCCCTCCATCAGACCCCCCCCCACCCCCCCCCCACCTCCCATGGCGCCTCAACCCTCCCTCCATCCCCCCATCCGCTCCACACCCCAGCCTGGGAGCACCTCCCCACTAACAAGAAGGATCGAGGGAAGAGAAGAAGGAGGGAGCATGCCAGAGCATGAGTTGGTGTTATTTATTTATTGTTCAGGTGTGGGTCCCAAGGTGTGTTAGAACTGAGTGTGTTACCCTGTAAAAAGGCCCCACGCACAACAACATACATATTCTATCAGTCCCCCCCCCCCCTCTTTTCTTCTTCCTCTTCCATACCAACCCACCCCAAACATGATATCAAATCGAAACCAAAAATCTAGCAGTGTGATAAGTGCAGGTGCAGGTGTTCCTACTTCCAACCGCCACCCCAGTGTGTATCAGGAAGTTACTGTGTATTATAATAAAGTCAAATGGTGCTATTGTTCTAAAACAAGTCTGTATTCTTTAACAACCAGATACTGATGTATTAGTGACATGTTTATAATGTGTATGTATATGTATATGTGTGTATACATATATATATACATTTTTCAGAGAGTACATTTCACGCTGAGATTATTTTTCAGAGTGGTAAATGTCGCTGCCCCTCCCCCCCAACCCCGACCCTCCTCCTTGGCAGCCCAATGAAACATAAACCATGTCCATTATATATTTTGTAAGAGACATGTTCAATTCGGAATCAATCCCAGCTCTAAACTTTTTTTGTTTGTTTTATTTTGTTTTAATTATAATATTTTAAGCTACCTCACACTAAAAAAATAAAAAAACAACAAAGCAAAGTTATGGCCTTTTAACCCTGAATCGAAGTTTACAAATCGAGCTTGGGCGATCTTATCTGGTGCATTAGACCCCATGTTGTGAGAAGCCCACCAGAAGTTGACTTTGACCCTTGACCTATCCCACTCCACTTCCTCCCATAAGCCCCCACTGTCCCCTCACACAGGAAGTACCTTCTGCCCTGGCAGGAATTACCTCGGCCCTGGCCATGCCCCTCTAGGATCAGGACACGCCCCCCTAGGATCACGAACGGGATAGGGCTGTTAGACTTGATATCACTACTAGACAATCCAGCCCTCATTTACACACAGAGGAAAATCATCATGACCAGGGTAGAGGGTGCATTAGTTTGTGAGGGTGTGTATATTTTTTGTTATTATTATTAATAATAGTATTATTGTTAATAATAATAGCATTACTATTATTAGTAGTATTATTAAATATGATGATCTGATTTTGTTTTTGTTACGGTTTTGATTCATGTAAATTGGAAATAAAAGAAAAACAAGTAACAGGCTGAAGTCACTTTTTATTTTACATTTTTTATTTACATTTTTTGGGGGTTGCTATTCACCCCCATAATGCTCGAGAGAAGAGTGTGTGGCATAAAATATCCGGGGAGATTATTTGTTTCTGTAACCTGAAAGTATGATTGAACTTATTTCTGTTGGTATTATATTCCCAGAGATAGAAGCCATACCAAATCTAGATTGTGTGCCCTGTATGCAGCCTGCCTTGGTCTGTGTGTTTGGGCTAAATGCATATCGAATGGTGGCATGCAGTCAGAACACACAGCGAGAGACCATGGATCACAAGATGGATGATGGCGGCACCCCATTTTATTTTTTGTTTTATTCGTTGGAGAGAGTATTCCAAATTTAGTGTGGAGGTGCTAAGTTCATATCATGTACTATTTTGTAAATGTAAAATCGTTTTTTCAATATTTTAAGATTGTTTTTAAGCATGGTAGATAAGAGGAGGAATGGGAAACATTGCCAACCGCGATCATCAGAAACTGTATGAATTGATTGTCATCCTGTCCTTTAATTTTTTTTATTTTCTTTCCTGACTTTTCACCTTTCACCTTTCACCTTTCACCTTTCACCTTTCACAATAGCAATAAAAGGTAGAAGCATTTCTCTAAACAACACAGAGCCACGTTTGTTTTATTTTTTATATATTTATTTTTTTCCCGAAATTTGGTTTTAAAGTTCATTTATTATTTGATGTATTGGTTTCCAAATCTATGATGTAATCTTTGTTAGAGTAATTATTGACATTTAAAACAGGAGGGAAAACAAATCAGCAGGACAAAAATACATCACAAATAAAAAACTTTATAAAAATGACACAGAAGGATGCATGCTTGGTTCTTTTTGTTTGAGTTATCGGCATCTCCACAGAATCGGTTTTGTCATTCAGTTTGTGGTCTATATTCATTGTAGCCTATGACACAAAACAGTTACGCAACAGTTAATGACAGGACAGTGCTATCGATTAAAGGAGTTGGGTTATCATTGAAAGGGTAAATGCTATCATTTAAATTAACAGCGCTATCATTTAAAGGGACAGTGCTACACCACAACCTGTACTAGAATGGAACTCTGAACACCACAAAAGTACACATAAAATACTAAATCACTTAGGGTTTGTCTGAGACAAACTTACAACATATAGGCTACTGTACAAACTGTTTTTTTTCATGAAACACATAACATCCTATTCTGATTGATATAACAATGTGGTACAGGAGTAATTCTAATCCATTTCATTTTGGGATTTCAATAATGTAAGAAAAAAAAAGGCATTCAACGTATAACACATTCACCTGCATGCCTTCATTTAGTTCAGGGCAATAATAAAGGCCTAGGCCTCTATTCAATCGGTATCGCTGAAGCGTTACAGATTGCGCAATATACATTTTAAGATAATTTCCGATTGAGCTGACATATGCAGCGTTTACCGTGAATGCAGTCTCTGCTAATGCGGTAACATTGCCTTTAAATTTCAATCACGCTGTAATGCTGAACTTCCACAATTGAATAGAGCCCCTAGTTTAAATGCATAGTGCGAAGACTGTTCGCGAAGACTGCGTTCACGGTAAACTCTGCATATGTTGGCTCAATTGAAAATGACCTTTACATTTCAATCGCGCTATAACGTGGATCCTCCGCGGTACAAATTGAATGTATCCAAAATACAATTGTCTCTTTAAACTCACTTCACTAACAATAAGAATGTCCAGGAGGAAAATATAGGAGCATTACTTTAACCCCACAGACAGACAGACAGACAGACAGACAGGATTTAAAACAGCACTAAGCAGATACATTAGGATCCACAGAAACGAGCAGTTTGTTTCATTCGTCTGATCATTTTTTAACAAAACCAATTCTAAATCAGGTCTTAATTTAATTTCTCTGCTTCCGAGACAGCTGATACCATGCCGTCATACACTAGTCTCTACCACTCGGCCAATTTAGAAATGATTGCTTGCCACGTACTTGATGACTAAAAAACTGATTCACCACCCACTTCCTAGGACCAGGGTAAATTTAGAACAGCAGGAAGGAATTGATGTAGTGGGGATTGAGGGATTAGCGGGGATTAATATAATAATATAACTTTATTTGTATAGTGCTTTTCAATACAAGTAACAAAGTGCTTCACATCATAAAAGAAAAGTACTAAGCATCTTTATAAAAGTGTGTCTTCAGAAAGGCATTTAAAAAGAGGCACTGAATCTGTAAGCCTGATGTCCTCTGGCAGACCATTCCAAAGTCTCAGGGCCCCGATGGCAAATGCCCCGATCTCCTTTAGTTGTCAACCTACACTTTGGAATGGTCAACAGTGCCCTGCCAGAGGATCTCAGGCTGTGTGTCCTGGCTCGTAGGGAGGTAAAAGATAGGATTTGGATATAGATGACTGGCTGGTTCAGACTCAGTGACCTTGTAGAGTGAGAGGTTAAAACAGCCTTCTTCACTGATCATCAAGGGCTGGAGAAGTAGGTGAAGTAGGACTAATGATCCTGAACACTGAACAACATCACATACCTTCGGAACCTGACATACAGAGTAGAAACAGACACTCCCTCTGATTATATGTTTTAATGATCTGCTATCTGTCTGTCAAAACGAATTAGGTCAAGGTGAGTTTTCCCTGTTAAGAGTACAATGGAAGACGAAAGCCACCAGAAAAAGAAAAGAAAAAATGTAGTTAGGGTAAAAAAATATAAATAATTATGGAAAAGACACAGTAGGTACAAAAAGAAAATTTTGTAATAATTTAATTCAAGTCAGAGTTGTTATAGAGAATCCATTTTCGATTAACAATTGTACAATAAGCTCCATCCCAATACAGAGACATGAATTGTCTCTACAGCCTTTTCTTAAACCTTCTCTTGGTTGTTTTTGTAAAGGAGAATGCGTTCTCAATAACTTTTACCTGATTAAATAAAGGCAATAAATAAATAGTTCAGAGACCAGTGCTTATCGTGTCTGTCTCTGTGGGTGTTTTCCTCGGACTGGGCAAACTCTTCAGATACTCCAGATGTCTTCTGGTCTCGGCCTGGTTCTGTCTCACGTAATAGACCACATAAACAATGACCATGAAGAACCACACGAACATGGTCACCAGCATAGCCACATCCGTGGTCTTCCTCTGGAGACTACAGAAGTTCACCCCAGAGTCGAGCAACTTAACCAGGGGTTGACCGGCGTGCTCCCTTGCCCCCCCTGGATCCTCCCAGCGACTCCCCTCGCCGGCGCCCCTCACCGAGCTCTCACACACGATCCCGTTGACCGTCTCCGGCTCTAGATTTAACGTCTCCATCAGCTCCTGCAGGGTACAGTCGCAGTGCCACGGGTTGTGGTAGAGGCGCGTCTTGGCCCGCGTGGAACTGAACTCGTCCCGGCTGGCCCGGCGTAACTGGTTGTGTGAAAGGTCCAGGAGACGGAGCTCTGAGCTAAGGTGGCGCAGGGCCCCGGAGGAGAGTGTCTCGATGCGGTTGTGGGAGAGGTACAGCTCCCTCAGGTGGGTCAGTTCCCTGAAGGGAAGGTATATAACAAGAGGAAGTATCAGAAACATCATAATTACACCTGGAACTAAAGCAAACTGGGAGCCAGATATGAATTGTAATGAAAGAAAGAAATAATTAATTAAATTACATTAATTAATGACAATAATGGAGCAGGGTGAATAAAAAATCCTATTAAAACACAACTGTTATCTTCCTTGCCTGAAGGCGCCCTCGGGAAGCGAGCGGATGTAGTTTCTCTCCAGGTGGAGGGTGACGGTGTCCGGAGGAAGGCCCTGGGGAAACTCACGGAGCCCAGCGTCCGCACACAGCACCACGCTGCTCTCCCACACACAGTGGCAGCTGTCAGGGCACTGGGGGAACACCGGGGGGAGGAGGAGGAGCAGGACCAGCAGGGTGAATGACCAGCCTCCCAGGCCTCTCCCAAGCCTTGTCTCCTGCCCCAGCCCTGTCCCCAATCCCTGCCCTCTCTCTCTCGCCATCCCTCGCTCCAGTCCTCTCTCTTTCCCAAGCCCTCCTCTCTCCAACTCTCTCCCCAACACTTTCCCCAATCCTCTCTCCAGCCCCATTCCATCTCCTCCATGACATCCAGTCCTCCTGCTGAGGTGCATGTCCTCACCATAGCCCCCGACACACCCCAGGTCCAGAGGGAGACGCCAGGGCCAGCTGAGCCTGGTGGAACAGAACAGAAAACAGGATGACAAGAGGATATAGAACACACGGAACATCCACAGGAGGTGAGTGGAAGAACACGGAAGGAACATCGATTGGTGGAGAAGAAAAATATGACTGTAAGCACATCCACTAAAGAACACACAGAAAAAACCACCACTGGCTTTGAGACAGGAGCTGGATACGTTCTTTAAATGTTCACCAGGGAAAGTTGTTTTGTTGTGGCAACGATTCAACCCTTAGGTGATGAGGACCTTAGAGAGAGAGAGTGCGGGCGGAAGAGACGGGTGAGATAGAGAGAGAGAGAGAAGAGAGAGAGAGAGATAGAGAGATACTGAGGAGAGAAGATATCAGCTACTGGAGACGCTCTCTCTGATCTCTCTCTCCTCTTCTCGCTTTCTCTCCTCTCTCTCTCTCTCTCTCTAGCTCGCCTCTCTACGTCTCTCTCTCGCTCTCTCGTCTCTCTCTCTCCTCTCCTCTCTCGCTCTCTCTCTCTCTCCGCGCTCTCTTCGCATCTCCTCTCTTCTCATCTATCTCTCTCTCTCTCAACCCCCCCCAAAAAAAACCCCCCCAAAAAGGGGGGGGGAAAAAAAACCCCTTTTTTTTTTAATTTGAAAAAATTCCCAAAAAGGGGGAAAAATTTTGGGGGGGCCCCCCCCCAAAAAAAAATAAAAAGGGGGCCCCAAAATCGCAACCCCAACCTAACCCTTTTTTCCCCCAAAAAACCCAAAAAATCCTTAAAAAATTTTTTTAAAAACTTTTCCATAAAAACCACCCCAAAGGGAATAAAACCCCCAAGATGGGGTTTCCCCAAAAAAACCCCCGAAGGGGAAACCCCTTTAAAAAAAAAAAATCAATTTTAAAAACCCCAAAAATGGGGCGGGTTTTGGCCAAACCAAAAAAATTCCCCCCCACACCCAAAAAAAAAAAGACCCTTTAAATTAAAAAAAACCTTTCCCCGGAAAGGGGCCTTAAAAACCGGGGCCCCCGGGGCCCGGAAACCCCGGCCCCCCCGCCCTAAAAGTACGGCAAGAAGGGGCCTTCCCCATGCCAAGAAAAAAGGAACATAAAATTTGACATACCAATTAGTATCTGGTTAAAAATACTTGAATCAGTTATAGAACCCATTGCCCTTTATGGTTGTGAGGTCTGGGGTCCGCTCACCAACCAAGAATTCACAAAATGGGACAAACACCATATTGAGACTCTACATGCAGAATTCTGCAAAAATATCCTCAGTGTACAACGTAAAACACCAAATAATGCATGCAGAGCAGAATTAGGCCGATACCCGCTAATGATCAAAATCCAGAAAAGAGCCGTTAAATTCTATAACCACTTAAAAGGAAGCGATTCCCAAACCTTCCATAACAAAGCCATCACCTACAGAGAGATGAACTTGGAGAAGAGTCCCCTAAGCAAGCTGGTCCTGGGGCTCTGTTCTCAAACACAAACATACCCCACAGAGCCCCAGGACAACAACACAATTAGACCCAACCAAATCATGAGAAAACAAAAAGTTAATTACTTGACACATTGAAAATAATTCACAAAAAAACTGAGCAAACTAGAATGCTATTTGGCCCTAAACAGATAGAATACCTTACCACTGTGACTGACCCAAAATTAAGGAAATCTTTGACTATGTACAGACTCAGTGAGCATAGCCTTGCTATTGAGAAAGGCCGCCGTAGGCAGACCTGGCTCTCAAGAGAAGACAGGCTATGTGAACACTGCCCACAAAATTAGCTGCACTTCCTAACCTCCTGCCAAATGTATGACCATATTAGAGACACATATTTCCCGAAGATTACAGACCCACAAATAATCCAATTTGGATAAACTCCCATATCTATTGGGTGAAATACCAGTGTGCAATCACAGCAGCAAGAAATGTGACCTGTTGCCACAAGAAAAGGGCAACCAGTGAAGAACAAACACCATTGTAAATACAACCTATATTTATGTTTATTCATTTTCCTTTTTGTACTTTAACTATTTGCCCATTGTTACAACACTGTATATAGACATAATATGACATTTGAAATGTCTTTATTCATTTGGAAGTTTTGTGAGTGTAATGTTTACTGTTCATTCTTTATTGTTTATTTCACTTTTGTTTACTATCTATTTCACTTCCTTTGGCAATGTTAACATACGTTTCCCATGCCAATAAAGACCTTAAATTGAATTGAATTGAATTGAGAGCGAGAGAGAGAGAGAGAGAGAGAGAGAGAGAGAGAGAGAGAGAGAGAGAGAGAGAGAGAGAGAGAGAGAGAGAGAGAGAGAGAGAGAGAGAGAGAGAGAGAGAGAGAGAGAGAGAGAGAGATGAGGATAAAAGACAGGAGACCGTGGTAATATGTTTTGACCTGGGGTGCGGGGTGCATTTGCGTAGTGGCATACAGTTGTGCAGAGGTGTTTTGGGGATTTTCACACAGCAGGCTCTGGAAAAAATGTGCCTTTTATAAACGCATTTCATCCAATTCTAAGTCATTTGTTAATACCACATAAATGTCGGAAATGAGTGGCTACTCTGACAGTGACTGAGAGCAATAAAAATGACCTGGTCATCACTGAAAACAACAGCCCAGGCCAGTGAAGAGACACACAGATTGTACAATATTAATATATATATATACAGTGCCTTCGGAAAGTATTCAGACCCCTTGACATTTTCCACATTTTGTTACGTTACAGCCTTATTCTAAAATTGATTAAATAAATACAAATCCTCAGCAATAACCCATAATGACAAAGCAAAAACTGTTTTTTAGAAATGTTTGCTAATTTATTACAAATAAAAAACAGAATTACCTTATTTACATAATTATTCAGACCCTTTGCTATGAAACTCAAAATTGAGCTCAGATGCATCCTGTTTCCATTGATCATCCTTGAGATGTTTCTACAACTTGATTGGAGTCCGCCTGTGGTAAATTCAATTGATTGGAAATGATTTGGAAAGGCACACACCTGTCTATATAAGGTCCCACAGTTGACAGTGCCTGTCAGAGCAAAAACCAAGCCATGAGGTCGAAGGAATTGACCGTAGAACTCAGAGACAGGATTGTGTCGAGGCATAGATCTGGGAGAACCTTCTAGAAGGACAACCATCTCTGCAGCACTCCACCAATCAGGCCTTTATGGTAGAGTGGCCAGACGGAAACTACTCCTCAGTAAAAGGTATATGACAGCCCGCTTGGAGTTTGCCAAAAGGCACCTAAAGACTCACAGACCATGAGAAACAAGATTCTCTGGTCTGATGAAACCAAGATTGAACCCTTTGGCCTGAATGCCAAGCGTCACGTCTGGAGGAAACCTGCCACCATCCCTAGGGTGAAGCATGGTGGTGGCAGCATCATGTTGTGGGGATGTTTTTCAGCAGCAGGGACTGGGAGACTAGTCAGGATCGAGGCAAAGATGAACCGAGCAAAGATCCTTGATGGAAACCTGCTCCAGAGCGCTCAGGACCTCAGACTGGGGTGAAGGTTCACCTTCAAACAGGACAACGACCCGAAGGCACATATGTTGGCTACTAAATAAACTTTCCAGTGGCACTGACTCACCCAATGATGAAGATGAAGCCTGGGCTACTCATCGGTGACGGCCGATTCGCTCGTGCTAATAGCCTATCTCAAGAGAAGATACTTTGAAAAATAGTGCTGTTCGTTCAGAATCTATCAAAAGTTGTTGAGAAAAAAAGTGTTTAGATTAGTATTTTCTTTTCAGCAGTAGGGAATTTCTTTCCAAACTGTACATTTTTCCTCGTGATTGTATTTTGAAATGTGCGGAAGGCAGCCGCAATCAACCACAGAAATATAATAAATAGATGGTGGTTCCCATTGAAGTCAGGACTGGCAGCCATTGCTAGTGTACCCATGAGTTTAAAGGGATCCCGACGTATTGCTTTAAAAGTCAAATTGCCAGGGTTAGAGGTTCCAAAACCCTTCTATGTATTATATGTCTATGGCCACGAACCACAATGCAACAAGCTGTTCTATATTTGCCGCGCGTGCTGCCCAAATTGCAGTCTTCCCGACAGTAAATGCTTGTGATAAAACTTAATCCAAGACCATTGATCCTCTGTGGCTAAATTCTGCTCTCTGGTGAAGTATTTTGAATTATTTATTTATATCTGTTAAGACAGGAAGTAGTATAATTTTTTGGAGAAAAAATTTGAATGTATCAGAGGGTGCTGCAGCCACTTCCGGCGGCTATGCAGGAGACAGAGGAGATTATGGTTCAGGACATTAAAGGCCACCGGGTAAAGGGAATAAAAAACAGATTAAGCCTGTTCATCTGAAAAATCCTCCTTGTCACATATTCACTACTAGCTACCAAAGGCCCATAGAGAGAGGAGGACAGGACATTACTGATTGCACCTCGTTGTTATGTTAAGGAGATGGCCATCACTTGCATTGATTTATTATTCAATAACCAACCATATATTATAGACTAGTTCATATATAGTACACTACTTTATTAACCTAGTTCATATATAGTACACTACTTTATTAACCTAGTTCATATATAGTACACTACTTTATTAACCTAGTTCATATATAGTACACTACTTTATTAACCTAGTTCATATATAGTACACTACTTTATTAACCTAGTTCATATATAGTACACTACTTTATTAACCTAGTTCATATATAGTACACTACTTTATTAACCTAGTTCATATATAGTACACTACTTTATTAACCTAGTTCATATATAGTACACTACTTTATTAACCTAGTTCATATATAGTACACTACTTTATCTACTGGGACAAGAGAACAGGAAAAAGTGGAGGTCTGAAGCTACAATCTATGCTGACCTTTCTTACTGCTATGAATCATCAGATTTACAGGCTGCAGTAAATGGGAGGTCAACTGATGTCATAAAGACAATCCCCATTTATTTCCTATAACATGACAATATGGATCTAAGAACTGTACAAATGATACATTTGTGACATCTATATATATATATATATATATATATATATATATATATTAAATGAATCAATACAGTAATATGAAATCTGTATGTAAAACATTTACCTTAGACATTTTAGTAATTTAGCAGATGCTCTTATCCA